AATTCTTTAGCTTTCCTAGATGTTTTAGTCATTCGAAATCCTGATAACACTATTGGTCACACTGTGTATAGAAAAAAGATCCATACCAACCGATATTTAAATGATGAATATCACCATCATCTTTCACAGTTAGCTACCGTGGGTAAATCTTTGTTTCAGAGAGCACGAGGGATCTGTGACAGAAAAAGTCTGGCCGCCGAGCTGCAGCATGTCAATCAAGTGTTGCAAGACAACAAGCTTCGGATCCCGCGCCTACGTCACAGTGACCGAGTGAAGCCGGCCACAGTCGAGCGTGTGCCTGCTGTACTACCATATAATACCAGAGAAGTCACAGACAAGGTTGGCTACATCTTGAAGCGAGCTTCCATTAAAACATGCTACAAGCCGCCGAAGAAGATTAGTCAATTTTTACCATCAATTAAGTGTAATATCCCTCTACAAGATGCAGGAGTGTACAAGTTAGATTGTGAATGTGGTGTCTCTTAGACAGGTCAAACAAAAAGATCCATAAAATCCCGCGTGAAAGAACATATAGCTGACGTGAAGCACCGACGCTCCGGGAGGCCTGCAGTCTGTGAACATGTTCAAGATCGTCCCCACCATTACATTAGATTTGATAAACCACAAATCCTCGCAAAAGAACACCGATTCCTTCCAAGAATGATACGATATATAAATTCGAGGCTATTGAAATTAAAAAAAAAACATCCTAAGTTCAATAGAGAAGATGGTTGGGTGCTGCCATCTGCTTGGGATCCTATAATTAACAAAATTAAACCCAAACACAAGCATAGCACTACAAGACTTTAAGATACTGTAAGTACGTTTTGCGTAAATCGGACCAAAAATTAATATTCAAAAACTGAAGGTAGCCGGGCTAACAATGACATTGGGACGTCAAACATCTCAGTCCCCCCCGTGACCATGGTTGCTGTAAAGCACCCAAAACGTCGGGAATTAAAATAAGTAAAATCAGTTAAATAAATGCAATAGAATCCGTAAATTTAGTTTTATTCAATGTGTAGTATTCACGTAAATTTAAGAAATCATTATATAATACTACCCATTAACTATTTTTTCTAAAGTTTCTAGTCATCACATAAATTTTCACAAAATGCATTTCAAAATTTTATTAATATATCTAGTTTTGAAGTAGCAGGTCAAAAAAAAAAAAAGGAAAAATTTCTCAAAATTTTCAATACACGTTTTATCTTGATATTGTTAGTTGATTTGCCTTTATAGCTAGTTAGACTATATGTTTTCTGGTTTTTAATTTAACTGTAAATGTGTATCATAATATTACATAGAAATCAGAATAACTACTACATTGTTATAAAATTAATATTTTAATGAAACAATTAAGTATAAAATTAAAATTTTGACATTGTTATGGAATCACGCACACACATTAAATGCGTATTGAGCCTACTTTAATGTTATTCTTCCAAAAAGACACTACACTACCTAATAACTTCATAATATATTCATGATCATAATGAAATGAAATGAAATTTATTAACATACATTACATTATTGTTACAATTATATTTGAGCTCTGAAGCCTGTCTTAGTAAAAACTGTGCTACAGGCCTCAGACTTCCCCATCTATTGTCTTAGTATTATAATGTAAGTATATTACTATTATAAAGAAATTTGTTAGTTAAAAAATCATTTTATTTTTTAATTAAAAAAAGTGATAATATGGAACTAATTCTAATGTAAGGCCAAATTGCGCGTGTGCGCGCGCGCGCTTGTGTGTGTGTGTGTGTGTGTGTGTGTGTGTTCACACACGAGCGATTAAGTGATCTTTATGAACAATTCTTCAATTGCATTATAATTCAAGTCGTTAAGAGTTTGTTTTAATATTTTCTTGAATTCATGATTATTAAGGTTAATAATAGTTTTAACATTTCTGTTACTAACAGTTTTAACTTTGTTGAATAATTTATTATAAAGCATTGGTGCACAAAAATTGTAGTTTCTTCTAGCAAACACGGTCTGGGCTCTAGGTACAGGTAATGTTGTTACTCGTTTATTACTTATAGGAGGATAAGGCACAGAATGGCGGTGATATCTACAAAGACACTGGTATACAAATAATTTGCGTACTGATAACATATCGCACTGCTTGTACAGGTCATGTGTGGGGTATTTAAAAGGCAACCGAATCCATAACTTTTAGGACGGCGCGTTGCGCACGCTCTAGTAGTATGAGGTGTGTCTTTGCTGCGCACCCCCAGACGCAAATACAATATGAAATAATGCTCTCACACAGGGACTTGTATGTTAATAAAAGAACATCATAACTAGCCACATCACGCAAATTTTTAAATATATAAATTAGCCTCCTTGTTTTACTCGCTAGAGCAGTTACTTGTGGGACCCAGCTAAGGCCTTCATCAAGAATAACTCCCAAATACCTTATGCTTGTCACACGTGACAAATATTCACAATTACACGTAACAGGTACACGAAGTAGCTGGTTACATGGGTGAGTATGGATTTGAATTTGGAAATTACTGCCTGGTCGAGAACGGGTTAATATACCAAAACAAACATACTTTGTTTTTGCAGTATTCAAAAGTGAGGAGGCTGTCTTCTAGCCAAGACGTTACAGTTTTTATGTCTTTTTCAGCGAGACTCCTAACATTACTCCACGATGTGCCGTGAAACAAAAGTACTGTGTCATCTGCAAACATCATGATGTCAACGTCCTTTGACTGCAACTTACATAGATCATTTATATAAGCGAGAAAAAGAGTCGGGCCTAGCGTACTGCCTTGAGGCACACCGAAATGGCAAACAGCGCTGTTGCTTAAATGTTCCTTGATCCTGACTATCTGTATCCTGTTACTTAAGTAGGAACTGAATAATCAATGTTTATTACAGTATAATCAACGTTTATTACAGTGACCTCGTGTTTTTTTTTCAAAATTTAGCACAATACATTTGTATTTGAACTTGTGCAAAATATTGCTTTGTCATTGAACCTTCTGAATTTTGAATTAGTGCAGTTTTGCAGTTTTTTTTTTCGTAGACGTACACTAAATTTCAGATGTAGTATTTTTAAAACTAGACCACTTATTATCTGAGGAACCACCCTTGGGAATGCCTCAGAAATATAAAGACCACATTTACAATCTTCATTCCATTTTTTTCCCAATGATTTTCTAACTTCATCCTCCAGGTTTTTATCTCTTGACTTGGTATGAATCATTGACCAAGAATCATAACTACCAGAGTACCATCTACAGTTTTGCACCGACTTACTTCATAGCATTTTGAGGCTGTGATTCTGCCATACCTAATTTTATACCACTGGCCACTTTTATGTTGGCTTAGCTAGTTTATTTTTCTATGAGTGATATGTTATTCTGATTGAAAATATGAGACATCTTTTTTTTTAAATGTCACAGTTTTCATCATTGTTTTTAATCATGAGGCGATGTAGTGATAAAGTTAACTCCATATTAAAATCGGCTTGGTGTTTCAAAAACTAGCTTGTGGTGATTTTTCTTTTTTTGCATTGTAAAACAAACTCATTCATTACACTGTTGTCTGAAATTATAGTGTGAGGCTTTTTTTCGCATATTTCTTCAGCCACTAAAATTCTTATTAATTCAAACATTGCTGGATTGGATTTTCTCCAGTAGCATTCGACCAAAGTGCAGGATGGGTCTTCGGCTTGGCGATGTAACAACATAAAAATGCAACACCGTGCTTGCAGCCACCTTCTGATGCGGGGCAATCGTGACACTGAACACTAATTCTCGGCAATCTCTTCCTGTTTATTCACAATAACTGTAACTGCATATAGCTTAGAACGCATTTTCTGTTCTGGGCATATTGTACACTTAACTTTTTAGTCATTAACTTTAGTCCGATCTACACAAAATGATCTTACTGTATCTTGAACTATAACAGTGGTATGCTTTGATTTAGTTTTATTTTTATTAATTACAGGAAGCAGGTGGTACTACAAAACTCCTTCCCTAATTAAATCAGTATATTTTTAATTTTAATCATCCTTGGTATGACTCAATACTCATTCGCGTAAAGAATCATGTCCAATTTTGACCTGAAAATTTTTGAAAGCATCTAGTGATGTAAAATATCTTATAAAATTGCTCTTTTTTGCTTATTTCGAATCGCACAATTGAATTTTCTAATAAAGCCAGGAAAAAAGAGTAATGTTAATATGCTTATCATTCTCAATAGACTTTTGGAGACGGAACGAGTTTTACAATGACTTAAAGGCCCAGAAGCCATGCCAAAACATATTAAAAAAAACGTGTTTGTCAATGACAGTCCGTCATTTGTTTGAAGTTTTGCAGACGTTCGTTAGCTTTCCCTACGTTTTGTACTGTACGATTTTGGTTCTGATACCCTTACAACTTGCATTTTCCACGGACTTCGATACCTTCCACTCACGATTACTTTGGCCTGTGTAATACGGATACCGATTTAGCTTTTTAATTGGAATCTAAGACGTTATCGTACTTGTTGGAAAGCTTTATGGAGCCTTCTACGAGAATGCTATGTATAAACTGTAACATATGTATTAATACGCTTCAGCGTTATCGGGCCCTTCAGCTTGATAGCAGAGTCATCTCGCTAATTAGCACTATCCAAGTAATAGTAAGTATAATAAATTACCTAATGATTTAGTATTCAGTCAACATATGCTAATTTTATAAAAGGATTAATATTCAGAAGTGTTAAAGTATATATTTTCAAGTTAAATCAAAGAATGTCTAGTCAAATCAGACTCCAGGCATCGGTCGGACAGCTATATATAGTTTGACATCAGACTAGAACTCTGATGAACTGACAAGGGGTATAAATAGGCAGTGTTAGTTACTTAGAGATTTTACCCATGTTAAGCTAAAGTGTCCTTTAAGACAGTTGTCTAAAATAAAAAATAAAACATGTAAAAATACAAATTAAATGTGCCTATTTCAATTTATACTTTATAATCTCATAATTGATTTATTTTTCAGATTACGGAAGAGGATTACATTTGTGAAGCATGCTTTGATGTATCCATGCAGTCTATTAACGCTCAAATTCATGGAAAAAATGAGTGTCATCCATCTGCTTGTTCATCTCGCCTTGGTCATACTCAAGTATGCCCCGTTTGTGGTCGATTATTGCTCAATGGTCAAAGTGACCATATTCACAAAGAAAACCCATCAAGCCTCACACTAAGAATGATCAACTTAATTCGAACTACTGTAGCACCTTGTCAGGTTTGTATTTAAATATTCAATCTCATTTTAAACTGCATGCAATTTTTTCATTAAACATCACATTCTAATCCATGACATTACTAGGTATGTCACTGCATTTACTACAAATATGTTGTTTTTTTGTTGACAGATATCACAATATGATCGTGTATGTCATGCCTGTTGGTTGAGGTTTAAAAGACAAGCTCTTTTAACTCAACAACAGGATGAAAGAAGAGGCTTAGAAGGTGAAGAGACTCCTCACAGTCAAACAATTGAACAAGAAGTGGAACAGCCTGTTGATGCAGTTCATGTTCCTGAATTACAACCTCCCCCGTTTATTGCAAGTACAGTTGAAAGGGATTCGTCTGTAGAATCAGTTGCAGCTCCAGAGGTTCATTCGCAACAATCTCAAACCCAACAATCAAGTAACATTACATTACATAATTATAAACGTGCTCCCAATACAGCATCTCATTGTGCATTGTATGGGTGTGAAAATGAAAATCTGCATACTGTGTCAGATGCACTGCGGGCTACCATTTTGTGCAACTACAATTTTTATATTCCCAAAATGGCAAGAGTACGCACAGGCCATTCACATGGAAACAGTTGGAGTTCCCTTTATACCAGTGAAAACAGCATGAGCGATTTCACTGTTGAATAAGTTGAGCATGTTTTTTCCTTTGTTCAAGAATACAAGCATTTTCTCGATTTTTCAAGCATAGAATCATTACAAGAATTTGACGACATTTTATTTGGATTTTGGATTGGCTTGTCAAAATTGAAATTCCTTAATTTGTTAGAAGACTTTCCCCGACTGTTAGGAAAACATAGGGGTGTATTAGGTCTAGCTGTTGTATTGATAAAGATGCGGACAGGTGATTCCGACTTGAGAATATCAACATTGCTAGAAGTTCCTCGCACTACACTAGAGAGGTTAATGCAAACAGCACGAGAGGTACTGCTACAGGATTTTGTTCCATTTAACCTTGGAATAAATCACTTGCCGAGAGAACAATTAATAGAACACAATCTCATTATTCCAAATGGAATTTACAATCAAAATAATAAACAATGTATTGTGATGTGTGATGGAACATACATTTTTTAAATAAAAGTGGCAATTATATGTTTCAAAAAGATACATATTCTTTACATAAATATAGAAAAAATCCATTTTTAATAGTTGCCTGTGACGGTTACATTTTAGATTGTTTTGGCCCATACAAAGCTACCACATCTGATGCCAAAATAATGTCTTCTTTGTTCAGCAACGAAAATTCCCCACTGAGACAATACTTTCAAGATAATGACATATTTATTTTAGACAGGGGATTCAAAGACAGCATCAGCTTATTGGAGCATTGTAATTATAAGGCGTATATGCCAGAATCACTTTTTGAAGGCGAAAACCAGTTAACCACCACCCAAGCAAATAGAAGTAGATGTGTAACTATTTGCAGATGGGTGGTGGAGGTTGTAAATGAGATTTTAGATTATTAAGGTTTGACAATTTTAATAAAACTGTACCAAATATGATGGCTTATTTCCAAATTGCTGCAAGTTTAATAAATAAGTTTGGTGTTTGCCTTCGCAATAGAGCTGATGCTGCTCAAATTCTTGGTATAATAAATGAAAAGATGCCCTTGGAAAATAACTTAATTAATATAGTTACAGAATATAATTTAAATCGCCGGGCATCCTTTTTTCAAAGCATTACAACTGATACTGCTAATATTGAGTTTCCCCGTCTAGAATACAGTGAATTAATATTATTCGCCTTGGGAACGTACCAAATTCGCCAAGCGCGTTCATATTATGGTGAACACGTCCATGGCGGATACAAGATAGAAGTTTGTCAAGATACTAATAATATACCTGAGTTAGGCAGTGGGGAAAATTAAAGTCTAGACATATCTCAAGACGTCAGTACTATGTGTACATTTTGATTGCAAATGGTGTTGATGGACGAGAAGGCATTGTAGAGTATTGCTGCAACTGCATTGTAGGACGTCGCACTGTAGGTTGTTGTGCGCATATTATGACAATGGTGTGGTACTTGGGTTGGGCCAGGCATGAAACCAATATTGAGCCTCTAGCTACATTTTTAGATGAAGTGGTCATACGAGAAGACAATGAATAAATAAAAATAAATCAAATCGTTTTTTTTATTTAATTTCCCTGTTCTCACCAAAAACATGTAAAAAAGGTAGCTCTTTTTGTTATCTATTAATGTTGTGATGGCCCAGAGGTTACACCTCGCCTCTCATGCACGAGGCTGTGAGTTAAAATTCAGGCAAGTACCAATGTGTGTCTTTCAATGCGTAGGTACGTATTTTCTAAGTTTATCTTACATTGGGGAAGGAAAACATCGTGAGGCAACCTGGACTCAATAATCATATAGTAGAAGTATAACAATCAAAATAAAAGTCTGAAACTGCCAACTGATCTTGACTCTGCGTAGTGATTAATGCTGATGCTTTCTCTGTATGAAAAGAGGTCTTTTCCCAGCAGTGGGGACGTATTATTATGCTTATATTAGGTATTATTTACTCTCTTTCTCTGTTCATCAGACTTTTATAGTTCGATGGCTGAAAGCGTCGCCTGTCAGGACGACTCCTTGAGTCAATCTGTTACGACGACAGATTTTGACCGATAATTAAATGAACTATACGTATATTGTTCTAATTTGCACAAAGTGTAGTGCGTGTAGTCTAAAAATCTACATAGGCGAGATATTACGAAAACGTAACTGCTATTTGTGACCGCGCACAGATGATAATATTACATTGAAGAGGGATTTATTTCTGAGTGATTGTAACTCTCTCGGCGATTAAGAAACAATAACAGAGTACTTTTTGTATACCTGAAAGAAACAATTTGATTATAAACGTATAGTTTTTGAGGTTGCGACAGCTGTCAAATAATTGACAGCTGTCATAACCAGAAAACTTATTTACTTAATAGCATTTTTCCCTGGCCTCTAAATGAAAAGTTGATAAGTTATTATGTTATTATAAACAATAATTGATTTTATGCAACAGCACTTGTAGGTAGACGCGCCCTGTAAAACAAATCAAGTCAATCAATGTATGGGAAGTGGGCATACTTCTTTCTTAATCATAAATTTGATATTATTGCGCGAGCCATCAAGAATATAAACTTGCTTTTTTCGGATTTTGGAGTGTTGGTTACGTTTAGCATTAAGCTCATTTCTAAAAGGTCCCAAAGTCGTTTCGGTCGGTAAAATAGCTGATGAAGGAATAACATCGAACAGTGGTGTACTGTTAGTGATTAGTCCACTCTATAACCTTTTAAGCAACCATAAGCTTCCTCATAGCACTAGTAGTAAAGATCAATTTATACTTAGGGCTTCGATGACATTTCTGTTACAGAACCAAAATAAAGGAGTAAGAGAACCAGAGTACAGAAAATCCAACTGCAGAGAGGTGTAAGACAAGGTGAAGACATAGTGAAGTTACATCCTCGAAACTCTTTATCGCTGCACTAAACGACACTTAAATATGGCGAATACATAACTCAACTTTCAAATTTCCGATGGTAAAATAATTATGGCAAAATTGATGAAATATCCAAAAATTATGCACAGCGACTTTCTAAAATTATACATCAATATTTTGCACAAAAAACAAACTATTCTGAATATCTTACTAAAGAATAAGGCTGACAAACGAGCACATAGTTCACTTGATGGTACGTGGGTGACTTGGTCCATAAGCACTATCATCTATCTTCGACGAAGAAACATTTATTGTGGACCCGAAGATTAAGATGAAATTCCTCGATGCAATAAAGTATATCCGGACCTTTATACACATCAATCAAAATACAGCAAAATTAAGTGACTATTTTATATTGGTATTCTGTGTGAGACTTGTCCTTCCCGGTCGAGCCGATCCATTCTTGCCGCAGCCATAATATAGCTGTATCGTAGCTCTACGACGTAAACATTGTGATATCTTTACCTTTTCGTATGTTTGGTGAGTATACATTGTTTTAAATAATGGATATGGGTTGCGTAATGCCTTAGCAGTAACTTTCAGTCCTAAGTGTCGGGGTTCAAATCCCACATGGAAAATAATTCTATGGCCTACAAATAATTGGACTTTTTGTGTTTCCGATTAATGTGTCTTTGCTAAACTTATGTATGTAAACTATTACCACGATACGGGAGAAAATCCCATTATAGAGGTACAATTTAAAAACTTAAAAAAAGGTAAGAAAAATAAATAAAAAGGAAAGTGATCCTTCTGAAATGTCAGGCCATCGTTGCGAGCTTCGTGAAATTCGAGAGTTTCATCTAGTTTAATCCTTCAAAAACTCTTATAGCGTTATGATTCAAGCAATGTTGTATGTGACATAACCGTGACCGTTGAAAATTTGAGCCAGATTGTTAGATAGATGATTGACATTTATTCTCAATTATGTATAAGATCTATCTCGTTTCCAGTAATACGGTCTCCGATTCTCTATACTCACGAAATGAAACACAGCAGCATTAAGCTGCTATTTATGATGGTATAAGTGAGAGCGTGATTCCACCCCGTTCAAGCTGACCCGTCCGTGCTACAACCATATATACCATGTATGCGCTCCGCCATTGCTTCAAAAGTCACTACTATGGAGAGAACTTTTGAAAACAGCGGTTGAAACTCACAAGTAGACCATTATTCCCCTAACATTTACAATATTACCTTTACAAAATAGCAAAAATAAAAGTTTAAAGAAGCTATGTCCACGCATTCCTATCTTTTAAATTGTCATCTAATTTATGGTAACCATTCTTCAAAAAAGTGTTTATTACATGCGCATTTAATTTCTGCAAAAGCAAATCAGTAATACTGACCCAATATCCCAGCGTATCTATCCAAAAAATGACCTACCCCTCACAAGGAACAACGGCCACTTTGGTCTAAGAAAATACAAACTGTTACATGATATGAGACTGTCACAAAAATTTTGAATATTGTAAACTTAATGAATGGTTATCATGATTTTATTTTTAACAGCTCGGTAAATCTAAATAACCGTTTATAAAGACAACTTTGCTTTTCAGAACGCTGTAATAAATATCTTAGGACGCATTTGTTAATATTAACGTTCCTAAATAAAGAGCATGTTATAACTAGGTTTTGCTAAAGAAATCCGTAGGTACCAAAGAGTATATAAATTAATAAAAAGTACTCTGTGATAAAATCACAGCGTTTCACTCTAATTTTCTAATTGAAATGAAATTCTAGTCATTATAAGAGAAACCTTTCATTTTAAAATGCTACGAATGAAAAATATATCATACTTATAATCTCAAAAACATTATGCATAATTTCTTTATTCTTCGTACTTTTAAAATTTATTGAATGCCTGTTTTTGTTATATAAAAATAGACAAAAATGATTATGTTTAAAAAAGTTTTATATTATATTATCAGTTTTAACTAGTTCAGGCGTTTTAGCAGAGTGCCATTATTCTTTCTTATTAAGTGTTAGTACGGAAAAGCGCCAAGCGCGTAGTGAATAAGCACATCATCATCATTAAGATCCATCGAAATTAATATAAAGCATAATTTTACCCAATAGATTACCTCAAGGGGAGGATATTTTACGTATTTTCCACGCTGAACAGTCGTGTCGACAAACACGGTTT